AATGTCTTGCATGGCAAGCCAGCGCTTATCACACTGTGCTAACTGTACATCAGTTACCAGAATGCTTAAAATAATATTAATTAGTTATTTATGTACCGCAGACTCAAGTGTTTCGCTCAGTCTTTTCCTCACTTTTGACCAAACAAAATGATCTAGCCGTTTTGGATTACAACACAAGTAAGACATGTACAGATACATGCAATGTAAAACGTGTAGGCGGGCCTGAGTAACAAACAGTTTCTTAATGTTGAACTTTTTCCCTTTGCAAATATCACAACACTCCCCTGACTGGAAAAAGGCTTTATGGGCTTGTTCGAAAGCTAGACTGCCCTCGCATCACAAGTAGTTCCTTAATGAGCAATGCCTCATAACACCCTTTCATAATTTATTTTCCAAGTTCAGTGGCTCAGAGCCACTTAGATTGGTTTTCTATATAACATGAAGCCATTAGCATGACATGTACTTGCTAGGACAGTTCAGGACCAACAACGGAATTCTTTCAACAAACAGGTTTACATGTTCAAGTTTGACTCAACCCATGGAAGATTCAAGGGAGAAGTGAACTCGGTGAATGGCAAACTGGTTATCAATGGCAAGGAAATCTCTGTTTATGCACTTAGAAACCCAGCTGAAATCCCATGGGGTAGTGATGGTGCAGAATATGTGGTAGAGTCAACTGGCGTTTTCACCACTACAGAAAAGGCGAGTGCGCACTTGACAGGGGGTGCCAAGAGGGTGATTATCTCTGCCCCTTCTGCTGATGCCCCCATGTTTGTGATGGGAGTGAATGAGGATAAGTACAACAAGTCAATGAAAGTTATAAGGTTTGTAGATGGCTGGATTATGTTATTCTTTGTATATTACCAAGTTACAATTTACGTTGGCCAGGCCTTTCCTTTTGATTGTTGGAGGTTTTTGTTGTGTAATGGTTAGCGTACTGGACTCTGGTTTGAGTCGTGGCTGGAGTCATCTTGTGTTCTTGGGCAAGACACTGTAACTCTCACAGTGCTTCTCTACACCCAGGTGTACAAATATGTGCTGCCAAATTTAATACTGAGCTCAACCTTGTAATGGACAAGCATCTAAGGAAGGAGAAGAAATTCTCCTGGTTCCTTCATGATATAAAAGCTGGGAGTAAATGCCAGCCTGCAGAGTTCTAAGCTCAAGTAATGCAGAGATCCTCTTTTGGCAACCTCCTTCTGTAAAATGGTTGCCACTAAACCAAACTTACCGGTAGTTGCAAAAATCTTAAATAAGTGTTTTTATACAAAGATACCACTGACCACGACAAGCGCTCATTGAAATCGTTGAAACAAATTTTCCAACGCTATTAGCTTTTGTTGGCAACTTTTTTTGTTGAACAGTTTTGAAATGCTGTTCAGGAAAGTATATAAAAGTAAAAATAAACAGAAAGAAGACAAACAGGCAGAAATTGTGGTTGAATTCATTTGGCTTAGTGATTATACATGTACTTCTAAAAACCTTGTTGATAAACTTACCACATCTTACCTTAGGACAGAAAAAGGGATTGAGTCGATACAAAAGAGCTACACTGTAAATGTACTTTTCGTTGTATTCTGTCTTGTAGCAATGCATCTTGTACAACCAACTGCCTGGCTCCCGTGGCTAAAGTCTTGAATGACAATTTTGGAATCGAGGAAGGACTTATGACTACAATCCATGCCGTTACTGCTACACAGAAGACTGTAGATGGACCAAGTGGCAAGGTAAGAATCAGTGTAGCCTTTTACACACAGCAGCAGAAAGGTTGTATGGGTTATAGGGTTTAATGTGGCTAAATATGTAATCTAGGCAAAGTTTGAGTCAAGCCAATGTTGACTAGTGGTCTCTCCTGGTGATCTTGCTCGCTGGGGTCTCATATGGGCCTCTACAGGGCTACGTGTTTTGTTTACCAGCTATGTGAGAATGTGCAGTTTGTCTTGAGTGCCGTTTGTGCCTGTGAGTGCTTTTGCTCCCTCACCTCCCTCCCTTTTGTGGTGTCTCTGATGGTGCCTGGTGGTCCCCGTCCTCATGGTTGCCGTGGATACCTGCATGCTCTGCTTGAGGCTCATATCTTGGCTCCACCATCCCTAAGGCACCTTTCCCAAGCTCAGTAATTGGTGATGAGTTTAATTGGTTGAAAGGGGCCAAGTGAGGCCACAATTGGTGCAATTACTACAAAGTTACATGTACTCTACTGCTGTTTCGCTTGCTTGTCTCTCCAGAAATGGCGTGATGGCCGTGGAGCTTACCAAAATGTGATACCAGCCTCTACCGGAGCAGCCAAGGCTGTTGGTAAAGTCATCCCAGAACTGAATGGCAAGTTGACTGGTATGGCATTTCGTGTGCCTGTACCTGATGTGTCTGTTGTGGACCTTACATGTCGATTGAAGAAGGGAGTAAGTCAATAAGTGGTTTTAATTTTAGATAACCTTTTCAAACCCCAACCCTCCCTGCTCTCCCACATCTCAATGCATTCTCTACTCTCTCTAACTTAGATTCTCCTCTCTTGCACTCTATTTCTCTTGCTCACTTTTTACACCTCCTCCCCTTGCTGCTTACCTTGTTTACTCTCTTTAAATTGTAGATTGACATTTATAAAAACAAATTATTGTCATTGGATTCTTTCTAGTGCAGATTAAGAAATAATTCTAGTGCTACAGTTTATTGCTTACTTCTAGGTTACTCCTACCCATGTAGATATTATTAATTGATATTGTCAATACTGTTATTAAATTTGTTGGGTGGCGATTTTATACTTGTTATGTGACATAACAAGTATATTCATTTCATTTCAGAAGTAATAAATTAAGATGGTCGCGTTGTTTCTTTCATGGTTGTTTTCTAGTTAGCAAAAAGTATGGTTCAAAATTTGAAAACAACTGTTCCAAGACAATGTTTTCTGTAAGCACCGGCAACCAGCAATTTATGTCTACTAGTCCTTAGGGACTGGTCAAAAAGTATAGGGGGGTGGGCCGGAGCATTTGGAAATGTGGTGGATAAAAGACACATNCAAAATTTTCTGGGGGGCATGCCACCAGACCCCCTAGCTGTTAGTGGATGGCCACTCACGGAATCCTGGCTAAGGAGCTGGTCAAAAGGTATAGGGGCGGGGGTGGGCTGGAGCATTTGGCATTTCAAAATGTGGTGGTTACAAAACACATGACCCACCCCTTCAATTTGCCACTGAGTGACCCCCCTAAATAAAGGTTGGAAATTACATGACCCACCCCCTATTAAACATGACATTTTTGGTTGCATAATCCAACAGAATTGCATCTTGTGTATGAACTTGTGGTGTTATTGATGTTTCAGATTTATTTTTTGACAAATTATAATACAAAAGCATCTAAAAATGATATTGTTCCCTTTAGTCTTGCAAATTTAAGTCATGACCGTAAATTCTACAAAAACCTGACAGTAAAGCTTGCACACTCAGCCTGTTGGCTAATCTTGACATACATATGATTTTTCATGACATAAAAAAGTAAAAGTGGACCTATCTTTAAGTTATCTTTTCAGGCTGGAAATCATTTTAAATTCAACTCAAAACTTAGAAATAAAGCAAATATTGCAAAAAGTTGAAGTTACTTTGCTCGGCTTATCAAGATCAGCAGTTTGTTATATTCATGTAAGACTACATAATCGTCCACTTAAAATACCTTTTTTCTTGTGGCAACAAAAATTTCATGATTAATTTCTAGTTGCTGCGGAGCGAGCATAGCGAGCGAGCAGTAACATAATCAGGATTTAAGAAGAATATATAGAAGGGGGTACGAATTCTCGAATTCATCACCTTTTACCAGAATGCATTGCAGTTAACCAGACTGCACTGCGCCACTTTTACCGGAGTGCATTGCACCTCGAACAACAAGAGGATGTCATACTCGTCGAGCCATCTTCTTTTTTCGCGTGGATTCCACTGAGAAAGTTTGCTCTGATTTACCTGTAAAGCAATGTGAAGGAGATCATGCTTGACTTTTACAACTCTTGCTATGCGGTATGTGAAAGTTTGTAAATCTGGACGATTAATTGTGACATCTTAATCTTAGTATGTCATTTCTTAGCA